GCGCAGTGTTATTGTTACTTTAAAGAGTGATGTCCTCTTGACGAGCTGGAATGGAGCTGGATCAATGTCATTTGTAAGATCAACCTCTTCATTCAGACGAATTGTTTCCCATTCCTTCCTCTGAAAAGTTCTGTATAACTGATCTGCAATTGCAACACAAAATCAAGCCAAAAATTTTGCTCCGGTCAATGAACTCAAATTACTGCTGCCTTCCCATCTTCTTGTTCATTTGTCTCTGCTAATATCTACTTTATTCATCCTTTTTGAACACTTTACATAGACAGAGGTAATACTCTTAAACAAATACATTCTGAATTTGAAAAAGTAGTTGAATTTCAACCTCATCTTGTGATAGATCGTACATATTTATTGCTGGCTTTTCTTGTTTCGAATGACCAAACTGCATGTGATGAAGACATTTTTTCGCTTGTTTCACATAACCTAAAGAAGCGAATTCTAGGTATTATACTACTTATAAGGTTAGAATAAATACGTGACCCTCGTTCTGTAGTAACTATTTCAAAACTGAAAACATCAAAACTTGTTGCTGGCATACTCTTAACAAGTGTGTGGTAGTCGGCAATCCCGTGAAGCGTCAAATGATGCTTGTGAGGCCCATTCTCTCCGCTGAGCTCCTCTGATTTGACATCGTCATCACGTTCTAGAGTAGATTACTTCATTTGGAGCTGTTATTAGCATTATCTAGTTATGCAGCTACGTGCCTGTTGCTTTAGAACTGTATTCTTCTAAACTACAAAATGCATTTCTTCTCGTTAGAGAATTTCGACGTGGCGTCTGAGGACATGGTTCGATCATTTTGCCAATTGAAACAGTAAACCTTAAATTATTTTATATATGTATATACATAATTATATATATGTATGTATGTATGTATGTATGTATGTGTGTGTATGTATGTATCTATGTATGTATGCATGTATCTATGCATGTATCCTATGTCTGTATGTTGGTATGCATGTGTGTATGTATGTGTATATACAATGTAATCGTTTTCATTGCAATTACATCTAGGGTTCTTACCTGTCATATACTTTATTCTTTCTCTCAACTTCTTCGGCCTCGTGAACTTCCTTATGTAACGTATGTGGCGAACGTCTGCATGCATCTAGAGACAAATTCGACTCCGATTTTGCGCGATGATTCCCGAATATCTGAAGTATACAAGTGATGGTGTTGGGTGCCAATTTGAGCTTTTATAGTAATCTTAACCTTTTTATCTACTGCCTACTCTTTTTAACGGCAGGATATATATTGCGAAATATAACTTTAATGATATTGAGATATTTGCAAAACTCCGGACCGCAGGTGTCTGCGGTGGGGAACCAACGCATTATTGTCCTTTCCTGGTAGTAACGCGTCCACTACCACAGCATACGGGTCCTTCGTTTCGCCTGTCTCTCAGCTAATTCCATCGATCTTTTGCCATCAGCAATCACCCGTCAACGGGATTGATCTGGAAAGCCCAAATCGGCATTGCACCCAGTTAACCCACATGGTGTGGTGGTGAACGCGTTACTCCCCGAAAAGAACAGTAGCTCGTTCGTTCCCACCGCAGACAGCTGCGGTCCAGAGTTTTGCAAATATCTCAGCATTATAGACTTTACAGTAATTGTTATAACAATGGTTTCCCGCACTCTCTTTTTGACTACAGAAAGTAGACGAACCCAGAGTTCATGACGCTCGGTTCTACAAAAAATGGATAAATCTCTTGGCGTTGATCAATTCTTTAGGAATGCGCCATGCATTCGACTTCACTAAGCATCGTTTGGAGGTGATTGAATGCACAGCGGGACTTTATTGACCCGCAGTGGCCTGCCGATGTACGAAGCCAGTGCTGCTGTCCTCCCAGACAAGTCTGGTACCAATTTTCCGATCCCCGAGGGATGGAAGGATTGGTGGGCCATGGGCGCGAGAATCGATTCCACGTATGTGTTGCAGAGCGATTCCAGCCACTGCGCCACATGCACCCTGTTTAATTCCACGTTCACTAAAGTTTCAATGAACACATCAGGACAGGGACATTTTTTTAAAGCCACACTTCGTTCGATTTTGTTTTTTCTAATTATGGCTGGTATTATTACTAATTTTTTAATTCTATTTTCCGCTTCCAAAATTTCGTACTTCAAGTAGAGCTAGCCGTCACCGACCTCCTTTCTGGATAATTGAAAGTGCATGTCGATAGTTCCGATTGCCCTCCTAACCCGGCGCTCAGCCTCTTCTCTTCGAGCGACTTCTCCAGTCTGAAAGAAAATAGCACTGGTAAAAAACAGTGAATTTCAGCATAAATCAAATTGACAAAAGTACATAAAAACTTTCATCTTCCTCCGTCCATTTTTTCTTTTTCACTATCAACGAAACTTTGAAGTATTCTATGGCATCAGTACGAACTTATAATTCAGTTGACTGTACACTTTCAAACCAACTCAAACACAACGGAATTTTTTATAGTCTTTTACTTAAATGATCGAAAATGATTGACAGGGTTTAATGAAAAGCCGAGCAATAAGATGAGAACATTGATGAAAGAATTGTCGGTGTCGGTTGTCCAGTTAGGATCAACCTAGCATAAGAAATTATCGAATACGTGAAAGGAAACTGATAAAATTCTAAAGCTGCAATTGTGAGCTTTGTGTCAATACTCTTATCTTGCTGCTCTCACTGGAGCGACAACGGTGAAAAAGGTATTCTTGCCAGGTTATTAAGAAAGTGGGCCTTGTTTTCTCTGTCAAAACAAAGTTTTGTTTTAAAGTTCGAGTAATACTTTTTTTTTCTTTGAAAAATAATTTTCCAACATTTACTTTTCGTCGTTTTTGTTTTTCTTTGAGTCTTATTTTGTAGAAGCCCTCGGCAAATTTAAGCCGTTTGAGGAGGAACGGATAGAAAACGAAATCAAGCGAATCTTCGTACGGATTCAAACACCTATGTGCTAAAGGCAAAAAGCTCACAATATCAACTCTATGTTGTTCAAGAACCTGTTAAGAATCCTTGAGTACAGCGTTAGCTTCAAAAATTTAGCGCTGTAGACGAGATCAGTGAAAACAATCAGGAACGGCGGCGACCTGTTGTCAACGACAACAGAAATATGTAATGCTGAGTGGATGAAAAATTCCGGCTTATTTTTCAATATTTTTGCCCTCTCATTTATATGAAAAATTCGGGTCAGGATTGTCAATGAAACAATTAATGTTTTAACCTATTAATCGACCTCCATTCTTTTCTATGGGAGCGTGCTGTGTAAAATACTACAAGAACGATGCCGAGACACGAGCAGAAATTAGAACCTCAGGTGCCCTTCGAACCATCGATTACCCTTTTCGGAGGGTCATAACTTACCCACTACACCAACCGAAGCCTTTGCCTTGCGTTTCTTCAGCTACCTATTTATTCTAACAGTGGTATCAGCCACCACCCAATTGTGGGATTAATCTGGGAAGTACAAATCGGCATTGAACAAAGTTAACTCGAAGCTGCACTCGAAAAAACAATGTTTTAACTCTCATTTACTGCTCAATCTTTTTCATCACAGCGAATAAACCTGGTTGTGTATTTTCTTTCTGAAAACGATGAAAAGGTCCTTAGAGGAAATCTTTGCGTTGTTTGTGTCGCTAATACACAAAAATGATGTTTAGAGGGTTACTGATCTCGATTTGAGTCTTTCAATAACCAACAATACCACAAGTGGTACTGATCATATCATTGTCTTCTGATGCCGCCTGCTGAATAGCTGTTTTTGGGCCAAAACTGGGTCTATTTTCTTGGTGATTCACGGGACCACTCTTTGCTTTATCAACATAATGCTTAAAAGTAACAGCTAAGAGCAAAAAAACCTGCTCATCAAGCAATCCCAGAAGGTAATTTCGAGACACTGTTCCAATGAGCATTTGAGATGCTGGAATAATCTTCACAAAGCCATTGAGCACATCGTTTTTCAAAAATGTGTTTGCAACATGCCTGCCGAGTCAACAACAGGAAAAGTCCTGAGGTTTCGATCATCCAGAAGAATCTGTCGAATATCAGCATATGTAGTTATTTTAGTTATAAACAGAACCGGGGATACCATAATATTTTCGGCACAAATCGTATGAACACTAAAACATCAGTAAAACTGTAAAGCTGCTACATTAGTCTTTGTGCTTTTTTGTATTTCCACAAAAGATAACTCATCATGTTTCGTTTGTCAAAACATTAATTTTCGGACAATTTTAGCTAATTTGGTGTTAAAATTTCACTAATCCTCCACTCAGTAGCATCGCTGTGATGACGATCACATAACAGCTTGGAGTTGAAGCTTTTCATCTTTTTCTCAAAAAATGAGAAAAACTTATTTTATTTCATTTCATATAACCCGTCTTCACGTCTACTGTGCCGACCCAGCACTTCTCAAATTCGATTCATTTCCTCGAATCCATCATTCACGATTATCTTCCAACTTTTACGTGTGGCTTCGGCTGTTTGAGGTTTTTCATTTCATCTTGAATATCGTGGAATGCTGATCTAGTTGATTCTCCTTGGAGACCTGAGATAGCCGGACTGGAGCGTTCGCAATTGGATTGCATAGAATGGTTTGTCCCGGACAAATCAGGTACCAATTTTCCGACCCCGGAGGGATGAGAAGATTGGTTAGTCAGGAGCGGTTTCGAACTAGCATCATGCTTGTGATAACGGACATCACTATCACTGTGGTATCCGCCCCTATAAATGAAGTACTCCGGTTAAAATTTGGTTTTTGAAAAAAAAAACTTACTAAAGCTACACAAACAATGTTTTCACCTCAAGCACCCCTCGAGTGCAATTTTTGTGTCGTTGGCCTTACGATTCCTGGACCTCTGTTTTTTTTTGTCACTTTTCCCGCATTGCTAACCATCTATTGTTTTACTCGTTCATTTTTTAATTAAGTAATAAGCAATGTAGTGAATGGTCTTCTAACCGAAGCCATCACAATAATTAGCCGCTTAATACCGCTTTACGTAAATTTGAACTTACATGTTGTTTGAAGGCGGTATGTCAGGAAGGAAAGGCAAGTGCTTAATTTTAATTATAGTGTCAAAAAATGAAGGCTGCATATATGCACAGACAGCGTTAGAGAGTAACACGGATATCTGAAAATGCTTACATTTCATTCGACTATGCACGGAGAAATATAATTGGAATGGAAGTATTCGATTATACCCAAGAAAAACTGTAGAAGGGGATACGCTTTTGAGCGTATTCTATCGAAGGATCAATTTAGTTAGTAGTTTGAAAACTTCCAACGCTTTGTGTTTAGCACATAAAGCAAGCGTGGCGTTCACTTGCATCAGTCTTTAGAAATTTAACGACCTTTTGAAAAAACCAATAATTCTAAGAAACTTTTGGCGTTCTGAACATGATGTGACTGTGGAGAAGACTTTGTTCCATCGTTCTACGGGAGTGAGTGGTATGTATGCCGCTACTTAAAATTTGTTCATGCAAACATCTTGTTGTGAGTATTTGGATGGTTTTGGCAGCTTATGCTAAGTCTTCTTTGGTGATTTCCGTACCAACACTCTCCGTATAATAACTGTGATTTATTATAGTTAAAAGAACTAAAATAGAGATTAGTTTCCTGTCAAATTACCAAATAGTGAACTTCTCCGTAAAAGGTTTTGTCTAGACCATTGAATTTATGGAAAATCTGCACACTTCCCATACCTCCTATATTGGTCTGGTTTCGATTGCCTATCCAAAGCATGGTGAGAAAGGTTCAACATGCATTGAAAACTTAAACATCTTGTACCGATCGGTCAAAAGTACGTAGAGAGTTGGAACGCGAAACTCTATCTCTACCAGCGTATTCATCATATCTTTTACCAATTGACTACCGTCTTTTCAAGTCTCTTGATTACTATCGGCTGTAGTGAACAAGCAGCTGCTGAAAGTACTTCAAGAACATTTGTAAGTATGAGAAATGTGGGACATGGACCCTGAATACTTGGTTCTTATAGAATACGTGAAATGTGCTAGTAGAACTTGAATTTTAAAAACTGGAGTTGTTATTCACTGAATTCACTGAATTTTGCTTATTCATATTCTACACTTATTTTATTTTATTTTATTCATTCGAATATTGTAGAAATCATTCTCAATAGTTATCGAAGATTCTCTATGCTTACATTTTTTCTCTGTTGACTAATCTTTAGCGAACATGCATTTGACTCGCACTGCGTAGTCATCTCCAAATATCGAAATTCTTTGTAAAAACATATAATACTTAAAGCTTCCCATGTGCCGATTTTTCTGGTGAAGGCAAACGCGGCTACCGTGCTCTCCATTAAATCAGCCACATGGCACAAGTGGCACATGGCGCTGCCTTAGAAAAAGTTCTACCATCTGCTCCTCAAGCCATCTCTTCAAAGCATCGCTTCAAACTATCTCTTCATAAGCTCACTTCATTTATATAAGTTCCTCCGTCAGCTTCCAGCTTTTATTTCGCTCAGTTCGTGTAACCACTGCTTCTCCAATTACCAACCGTTATCCTGTATATGTATATCACAGCACTGTTGTTGTCGTTGTTCTCATCATAAACGACTACAATCCAGTGAATCTCATGGCATCCCGCTCAGTGACTGATACGTTGAAGTCCCTTTTGGCGAATACAAAAGGCGAGCTATCAATCGCACTAATATATCACTACGTGATATCCTTATAACTGTTGACATCATCACAAATATTTTCCCTTTGTTTAGTAACATGTTTAGCTATCGAGATGCTTGAGCACATTCAATAAGTTAACTTGAAAGCATTTCGTTGAGATCACTTGCGAAGTGAACTATATTTCTTTACAATTTTCAAACCAACTGTCGTTTAACCGCTATGGGAAAATAAACCACTTGTATTTAAATTGCTGAGCTCATATAAGGTTAATAAATTTATCCCGCTAACGTTTCAACGTCTTCGTTTTCATCAGAGCCAATGATCCGAGTCGATGGTCCACAGTTGTTCGTTTTCTTGACGTGGCGTCTTCGTAGTCGTATCGAGATGGCAGCGGTCTTTTATACAAGGCAGCCGCTGTTCATATGACTATCTGTTGATGATAATTAGTTTTCAACGAATAATCTACCATGCTACAGTCGGTATTATGTTAGCCAGCATATAGAGAATAGCAGAACAATTCGCTATGTGCTGGCTAACATAATACCGACTGCTACATGGTGGATTATCCTTTGAAAAATAAATTATTGTAACGGACAGTCATATCAACAATGACCGTCCTGTGCAAAGCAGCTCTGCCTGGTGAGCATGCCTCATTCCTGTGGTGCTCCACTGAGAAAGATCCTCATTGATACGACTACGAAGACGCCTCGTAGAGAAGACGAACAACTGTGGACCATCGGCTCCGATGAAGACGTCGAAACTTTAGCCGAATAAACCTGTTCATCAACCTTGTATGGGCTTAACAATTTAAGCACATGTACATTTTACAACACAGTTTTAAGTTGTTAAGATCTAGCATAAAAGTTATATATATATATATATATAATGAGTATGAATGACAACCGATGGACAACAGCCGTTAGTCATTGGATTCCTCGGCAGGTTAAAGACACTGAAGAAGGACCACCGACTCGATGGTCAGAGTTTTTCACGAAAAGCCTAAGAGAAAGATGTGATGTTCGGCGAGTCCCTAGAGTGAGCAGAACCCACTGGGCTACTCTTGCACGCGACGTGGAAAATGGAACATTTATTAGCGCCCACTCAAGTCACTCGACGATCATCGAAACTACAGGTGATATATACATGTATATATATATATAAATATATATATATGCTTACCTACTTGATACTTGAACAGTCTGACCTCACTGGCTATTCGTGCGCCGGCATAATCTCTATTTTTCAGAGAATTGCTGGTTAAGCCAACGTAGTTTCTTGGAATCCCGAGGTCATCCTGGCCAAAGTCTGTCCCAGGTCTTCACCACCAAAAGCAGTCACAGCCATTGTGTATCAGAGGAAGATTTGGTACCATGCGACTTTGATGCTAGGACGGTGGTGGATCCTGGTATTGACTTGCTCTTACCTAGGCTTCCTGTTGGAAACGCCGGACTCCTTCTCATCTTGGGAGACCCTGACAGAGGGATGAATCCCACCGCTATACATCGTGGTCCGACACCCAGAAACACTTCCCTGCCAAGATGAGGCGGTAAACCGTTGGAAGAATAAATATGTATATATATATATATATATATATATGATGTTTTAATTACAAATGCTTAGATGCACTAGAGTACATTCACATTGTTTTAAAATAGACGAAAATTCGTAGCTTTACCATCACTGGTAAAATATAATGCAGCTGTCCGGTTATCTCGAAAATCATCACTGAAACTGAAACGGTATGAGTGACAGAGGCAGAAAAGCTTGCCGCACCTGAAAATTGTCTTGACTTTTCTTTGTGGATGTTGCTCCAAAGATTCAAGAGAATTATGATTATTCATGGACTTACCCACAACTGCATACACACCCGGATAAATGTTGATTCCCTCAATCAAGCCAAGTGGTAGTGCAATTGCTACAACCTGCAATATTTGACTCCGTTTTGTTGTTGACATATGGCTCTTTATGTTGAGAGTATCATGAAAGCAAAAATACCGTCTTCCTGTTGAACGGCAGCGATATGCATATCCATTTACGAATTTTATCTTTAATTTTTCAGTATACATTTACCTCTCCCATGAGACGACCAATCGCAGCACCCAGCACGAAAATGGGCATGAACACGCCAGATGGAACGGGCAATGTCATGCAGACTATTGAGAAAACGAACTGAAGCACGGGAAAAGTAGTGAACAAAAAATCATGGAATTGGAGGATAATTTGAAAAAGGTTAAATATCTCCGGATACGAAAATAATGCTGGGCTTTTCGTACATGAACTGTGATGAATAGGGAGAGTAGAACTAAAATATTTCCTCGATTATCCAACCAGTGATCAAAAATATCCGATTTGCAGAAAAGAGGTGAAGTTGGTGGTTCAGTGAACGTACAGTTGCTGAAGAAATCCCTTAGGTTCATCCCGAATTTGAGCTGGAATAAGCAGAGTGTCGAAAACTCAGAACAAAATGCTGAACATTGTCCAGCATTCTTCAATCACATATATTTCAATCAATCTATAAAATAGACAAGTTGCCAAGGTGGTCGTACGTCGACCACTAACTGCAACTAGTGGGTATGTTTAGTGGCAGATGCACACGGCTGGCGGATTATTTGCTTTTCTGTTTTTTTAAGGAAAGTTGGGATTTTAGTCATTGGTAAGGATTCCACATCAATAATTTGCCGCCTCACTATGCTCATGCGGAGCCTCTAGTCACGAAAAGTTTATTTAAAGCACTGTTTCATCTAACATGAAGGACCAGCTAAATTTCGAAGGAGATCGCCATTTATTGAATATCTAAGGCAAAACAGTTATGTTATTAACTGTTCGTGGATTAGGAGAAGCTTAGACACAAGGGAGGAAAATTTTGTGCACAACAGCGATTAGAGGCTCTGGTGGCGACCACGTCATCACGGCTATTCAAGATTTCTAAACAACCTGCTCAAGTCACCAAAAACCATTTTCAGTACTCGCCAACACAACAACATGAAACACTTTGTCGACCAGGAAACTAACGATTCCCACAGCCACCTAACTCAGTATTTTCCAGGATCGACTTTCTATTAACCTCCGCATTGGAATATGAATGTGTCGCTTTCTTGTTCAGCAATCGCGAGGTTTTTAAACAGCATACATATACTTCCATAGAAAAACACAATACAATACAACACAAGCTGACGTTTCGGCAGTATCGCCTTCCTCAGAGCCTGGAAGTGTATACCGATATACAATCTACTAGGCCAAACGCTTCAATAACACTTACACAAAGACGAAAAACTCTTTGGTAATTACATGATCAACAGCTTCTCGAAAACCCACCGCTTTTTCGTGACTTCCAATGAAAAAGTTTAGAACAGCTGATTATAGTCGCATGTGGTTGACAAAAGATATGATACAAAAGGTATGATACAAGGTATGATAGAAAAGCATAGCGGAGACGATTTTGAAACAGAAGTCAATATCCTTGCACGGGAGTCTAAAACACCAGCGCGAAAACTTCTTGAGGTTTTTTGGATAAATGCCAAAAACCCTACAATGAATAGCAGAGATGAATGCCCAGAGGTTATATGCGACCTGACCCCGTATGTTCGCATCAATTTTTGATGTGGGATGGTGCAGTCATCAACCATATGCGACTGTAATCAGCTGTTCTAAACTTCCTCATTGGAAGTCACGAAAAAAGCAGTGAGTTTTTCGAGAAGCTGTTGATCATGTAATTACCAAAGAGTTTTTCGTCTTTTTGTAAGTGGTATTGAAGCGTTTGGCCTAGTAGATTGCATATCAGTGTACCCCTCCAGGCTCTGAAGAAGGCGATACTGCCGAAACGTCAGCTAGCGTTGGATTGTATTGTGTATCTCTATGGAAGTAAATGTAAGCTGTTTAAAAACCTCGCGATTGCTGAACAAGAAAACGACACACTCAGTATTTTGCCCAGTAACTTTCTATGTATCATCAGGTGGTACACTAACCTTGTCGAGGGACGTGCGTAATGTGTGCAGCAAAGAAGGTTTATCGTCCTAATTGCAATCTAGCTTTTGAAAAGTGAACTGTCTTCGTGGCTATACATCTTATACATGTGAAGCAAAAGCTCATCAAGTTGAGGCTTTTAGGATAATCCCAGCGAATATTTGTGGAGATACTTATGTAGCGTAAACGGACGAATTGTTCCAACAATTTCAGTTAAAATTCTAGAACATGGAGAAAAAACCCAGAAACATCATCATGCAAGAAAAAGGTATTTCTCATTAAACAAACGGTGTATTAGAAGAAAACGAGAGCAAGATGGGTTGATCCGCATACAATTCCTCACGAAGTGCTGCAGAAGTATCTAAACAATAAATATGTACTCACTCTTCCTGTGGAAAATCTTCCAAGTCCATGAGGAAACGATATGATGCTAAAGATTAGTGACACGAAGACTGGGTAGACGATCCAACTAAAATAGCGCTTCAATTAAACCTTAAAATTCGCTGAAAATTCGTAACAGAGCTTACTGTTGTTGGAAGACTTTTTTGGCATATTTGTTGTTGCGCAGAAATAGAACCACTCTTCGGTAGAGAGATATATACATGGCACCCATCCCACCACAAAATATACCAAGTACAATGAACAGAGGAATCTCATTAACCACAAATGCGTCAGGTGCGAAACTTGTTTGGAAGAAAGCGTTGACGGTGACTGAGAATAAATAATGTTACGTTCCCAGAACACAGATCACATTAAGAACGAGCTGGAATGCTTTGAATTTAGGTTTTACGTAAGAAATGACAGGCTGATTAATCGAACAAAATACTCTTCTATATTTTTTTTGAGCCTCTTCGACAGTGCTAAATAACACGAAAAGTAGTACTTTTAAATCTTATCACTGGAATTTCAAATATTTATGGCTAGAATTATCTTTGAACGTGATGTTTTCATGACTTATGCCAAATACACTTTAAAGTCTTTTTAAAAATTTTAGCTCGTGATCGGAAGTCCGTAAGCAAAATAAATCATTCAGTTTTATTTTCATGGCAACCACTTCGAATGGTTTCTGTTGTCTAAATACCGTTGCTTAAGCCCACCTAGCTTATACCGTGTCGTGCTTCAACTAGATATAGTGATTGTCAATGACCTGTGCAGTCTACTCAGCTATAGTGATCAACTACTCCTAAGCACACTAAGGCATAAGGCAGATTTCAAACCATTTGTGACTGTCTGTGCATAAACAAAACACTATGGTTTGGCCCACCGATAAAGAGACAAGATTGCACGCGTCATACCAATACCACATAGTCCACTCAACATATAGTAGTTTTGTAATATCAAATCTGAAGGTGAAATACGTTGGAGAAATGGAGAGATAGATGGTTTTATGCATACAGCAAAATCACCCTGCTCTGATGTGAATGGCAAACCACGTCGAAATACCCTACAGGTATACACAGGATACAAGAAGAAGTGATTTTGAATTTAAAGTCATTGAGCTAGAGATATGAATCGAAAATAGCTCACAAAACTGCAGAAATTTTGAAGCATTTTGAGACCAATGTCAAAATTCTCAGTATGCGTTAAAGAGACGAGTGGCTTGCAGATGTGTGCAATTTAACTTCAGATCTCCAATTTACTTATTGCTTTCGGACAGTTCTTACTTGCTATACCTTGTGAATTCTGCGCCGGTGGTTTAACATTTTCACAAGCTCATTCTTGAAATCTGTGAAGTGAAGGACGAAATACATGGGTTTTTGCAATACTCTTTACTATACGAACCAAATTTAGATGTAATAGTTTTTCTATGAAGTTCCCAAGATAGGAGCAAATAACCTAGTAGAATGGATGTCTTTCCAATCATAAACAAACAGAAATAAGAATACGCGATAAGTGATATGAACAGTAGAGAAAATGAATTAACTTAGAGGATAACTATTGTGAAGTAAACATTGCGCTAAATGATATGTATTAATTTATCTAAAACACGGGAATTTAAATACTAGTCATTCAAATCACTTGTAATTTTGCTAGCAGGATAAAGAGCTCACCTTCTGTTTGAACCACGAATCCTCTTAGGAGTCGTATGGTGATGGCACCGCAGCATGCTGCGAAAAATCCACGCCAGTAGCTGCGCACAGAAAAATACATTGTAGTCACTTCAATCGAAAACAGCACACCTAAGAATTACTACGTTGATCTTCTCCAGTCGCTCTTCTTAGTTTCTTGTGTGCGCCTGTGGATGTAAGCGTGTAAACGTGTGAATGCTTGCAAGCACGTATATATATATATATATATATATATATACTTATATGTATATATATTTGTTTATAATGTCTGTAAATTCGTCGTTCTCCCTCTCAGCCAACGTGAGGTTGTTGAACAGCATACGTTTGCTTCCATACAACAACACACATGCAACACAATCGGAGCTAACGTTTCGGCAGAATCGCCTTCTTCAGAGCCATCTCTGTGTGCACAAATAGGGAACTAAAGGAAGAATCGCGCGGCTTGGCTCGGCAAGTAGCCACCTCCAATGGCTACGGAATTGTACACCTACGAAATGAGTTTCAAAGGAGAGTGACGCTCCAAAACGAGCGGTTTGGCCGAAACAAAATACTGTTTATCTTGCCCTTCATTAGCGATGAATTAAGTGTAGCGATGAAGCGATGATTAGGAACGGCAGATCTAGAGGAATCGATAGTGATAACTGAAATAGTACCGAATACTCTGCGTTGTCACTTAGTTCGTAACCGCCTGTATGGCCGTCTATGTGAAACACAAAAGTGCGTAATGTGTAATGTGCCCTTACGGAAGGGACGGTGAGCCCATGAGTTCAGGTATAATATACCCGATCTCTTGTGGTACTTGCGTAGACGAATATAGTGGCGAAAAGGGCAGATAAAAGAACACCTAGATGGCAAACGAAAAGCAAAGTAAGGCACGCTACTAGGGATGCATGGGATACCAAAGCATAGCGGAGACGATTTTGATATGAAAGTCGCTATACTCGCACGGGATCCTAAAACACCAACGCGCAAACTCCTCGAGGCTTTTTAGATAAATGCCAAAAATCCTACAATGAATAGCAGGGAGAAATACCCCGAGATCACGCGTGATCTTGCCCCTTACCTTCGTATCGATCGTTCATATGGGAAGGTACAGTCGTCAACCATATGCTACTCTAAACGGTTGTTCTTCCTCGGTGGAAGGCAGGTGAAAGAAGCGGTGGGTTTTTTCGAGAAGCCGTAGACCTTGCAATTATCATGCAGATTTTCATCTTTCTATTTGTGCTGTTGAAGTGTTTGACCTGGTGAGCTGCGTATTAGTGTACCCTTCCAGGTTCTTATGAAGGCGATTTTGCCGAAACGCCAACTGCGATTGTATTGTGTGTGTTATTGTATGGAAGTTAACGTATGCTGTTTAACAACCTCGCGATTGCTGAGAGAGAAAACGACGAATTTACAATCCAATGCCGAGGTTAATAGAAAGTCGACCCCGGCTACTGCAACGTCCGTGTTTGATCAGAAGGTATTGCATGGATGTATGATCCAGCAGCTCAAACGTTTTTTAAACTTACTAGTTGGATCAGTTCTTATAAAGAACCAAACGAAACGATAGCGATAAGTAGCGACATCTGATAGGCATTTTGATGTGTATTTGATTTTGACGTTGAATATTTTTAGCAGTTTTTACATCAATGTCAGAAAAAAGGGAAAGAAGAAAAGCGTAATATCAACTTCAGAAACTATCCAATCATCTCGTTTGAGACGATTTTAATTAAACACTGGCGTCAGAAACTACACATAGGAAGATATTTCTGTTTCGATAGTATTTATAAAACTAGCCTCTGTAAGAAAATGTAAGATAAAGATGTGGTTTCTTTGCGTTTTCTCAGTTCATTAAGCGACACGAAGTTATTACAAAGTTTTATTCGATTAAGGTCGAGGCGCCTTTTCCTTATTCGGAACCGCCATTATCCGAGTCGATTTTTCATAGCCATTAGTCCTCGCGATGTGAGTGCTCGTAGTCGCATCCAGTTGAATCCAGTGTAGTAGAGCACCACTCGCTTCATCGAGCCTTATATAATAAAACTTTATAACAACCTCGTGCCAGCTCAGCGACCCAAAAAATAACCATTATTTATACCGAGGCTAAACGATGACCGGTTTTAAAACTAAATAATTAGTTGTAATTAGTCTTTTTTCCCTTGTTGGTGACGCCGTTTCCTCGTATTTCATTTAGTTTTAGTTCAAACTACGAGTCATAGTCATAATAAAACAATCACCGTCGCCTAGCATGAAACCAATTTGCCGAATATCAAACTCCGCTCCGGTCAACAACGGCTGGTAACCGTCCATTGTGGCAACCTATGTACGCGCTAACACTTGTCTCAATCTCCAGGAAAATCACATCCGACGGGCACTCTGCATGTTCATGAGAGAACCTTAAGTTGAATACGAAACTATAGAACGGTTCAAGTGTCCCTACAGGTGACGGTTTCAGCGCGGTGAAACAAATGGCAGAAATGCTCGAGTCGGCGAGTTTATTTCTGAGTGCCCAGTTCATGATAATTACTTGCGTTTAGAAGTACTGCGCGAGGTGGCTGTAGGTCTTTTATTCGGGCTTCAAAACAGCTCCTTTACAATTATGGTTCAGCAATAGGCAAACTACTTTCTGAATGACTTTCTCGCTAGTAATTTAAGCACGTCTGCCAATATTTCTTAAAATCAAGAATTGCAAGGAAATATACTTGACAGATATTTATTTAATGGCTAAACAGTGATTGATTTTAATGGCCTTTATTCAAAATATAAGTACGAATGTATACTAAGTTGTCAGCGTCAAAATATATTTAGGAATGAACAGCAAAGTCCACCTAATAAATAAGTGTTTCGGGTACATCTATTCCTTCCGGCTTCCTATTTCATCGAAAGAACGTCTGAGCTAACGCATCACTAACATCGATTTCTCAAAAAATTCATAAAATTTTTTAATCATAAAGGTTTATGTATTATTCTGTGTCTACTAGACTTCCTCGTACGAAGAATCGTATCGGAAGCTCGCTTTTGAATATCCTAAACTAGATAGCAGTACAAGATCAACCGGATTTTTCTCGGTAATAGAGTATTTTTTTTTGCAGAGTTTTACCATACTGTTATGCGGAACCAGAGATATGCGGATACATTTGTAAAGGCAACTAATTTCCAATGCAGGGCAATGAGGTTAAAAATTGTGCCACGAGCGGTTAGTGCAGGGAGCAAAAGCGAAAGTACTCTCACTAACTTTTCACATTCCACACTTATTGTTTGTATTCTTAATCTGTGATTCAACTTTTCTATCCTTAACTAGCACTCGAGACAAAATAAAGTGAAAAATGAATGAAATGACTACAAGAAATGTGAGATATGAGCCAAACTCGACTTCTAGGAGGGATTCAAACCAGCCATTACCTAAGGGAGAGGTTACGTGATATCCACCGCATCCACCGAGGCCCTTACTTTGTTTTTCTTTCAAGTAGTTTTTTATTCAATTCATTAGCCAGCTGTTGGGAAGATGCCGTGGTCGCATACATCGACGAAGAATACGATCGGCTCATTCAACATCTTTTCTTTAGCGCTATGAAAGCTAAGAGTTCGAAAGTCACCAAGAGACGTTTATCTCCAGAAACACTTGAGCTGATACGCCAGCACGGAATCGCACGAGCTGCAGGCAACCACGAACCAACGTCCGAACTTACGAAAGTCTGCAAACAGACGTTAAAAGAAGGTTTTAAAAAGAGAAGAGCAGCAGTATTCGTCTAAGTTGCAGAGGCTGCGACGAGTATTTGCAAAGCCCACTGTGCTTCGCCAATTAAAAGACCAAGATGATTGTATTCTGACGCCCAGACAGAATAGTTATAGCGTCCAGAAAGGCAATGGAGAAAATCATTTACGAATACTACTCAGATCTCTTAGATAGCCACGTCCACATTCATTCATATGAAATAAAGGAGGATGGATACGTTGTACCACCGGCTCTCCCTTCCAAAATCCGATATGCTGATTCGTCGGTGAAAAATCGAACAGCACCAAGTCTCGACAGGTTAAGGCGAGAACACCTGAAGAACCTTCCTCCAGTCCTCGTAAGCACACTGGCTCAGCTTCATACGTTACCTGCCCGAATGCAAGGTTCCTACTCAGTGAAAGGCCAGCAAGACCGTGGTATTGTTCAAAAAGGGTGACCTACACGATATCGGCAACTATCGCCCAATCTGATTGCTGTCTGCCGTCTAAAAACTTCTCACTCGAGTCATCCTATGCAGCATTGACAGAACACTGAACGATGGACAGCCAAGTGAGCAAGCAGCGTTTCGAAAAGGATTTAGTACGATGAACAACATCCACACGATAACACGGCTCATTGAAGTGTCGCGAGAGTACAAAAGACCGCTCTGTCTCACTTTCCTCGATTTACAGAAGGTCTTTGTTTCAGTTGAGATAGAAACAGTCTTGGAAGCCCTTGATAATCAAGAGGTTCCTACTGAGTACATAAAGATTCTTCGTGAGCTGTACAAAAATTTTACAGCCAAGGTATCACCATTCTACAACTATATTAACATTGACGTCAAAAAAGGAGTTAGTAAAGGCGATACCATCTATTAAAATTATTTACCGCCACCCTCTAAAACGTCATGCGAACACTGGAATGGGTTAATGTGGGAGTGAAAATCGATGGTCGGCAGTCACACCATTTTCGTTTTGCTGATGACATCGTCCTTATAACACCAAACATTAGCCAAGTAGAACGTGTGCTTAACGACTTTGATAAAGCCTGTGGAAAGATTGATCTTCGATTAAATCTCACAGAAACGATGTTCGTGAAGAACGAATGGGTTTGGCATGCCCCATTCACTCTCAATGGAACGAATTTCTCGGAAGGCTCCAGTTATATCTATTTTAGTCGGGATATCAATATGATGAACGACCTAGCTCCAAAGCTGGGTAGAAGGAAACGAGCAGTTTGGAAAGCTTTCAAGAACATCGAGGATGCAGGGAAGAAAACAAAGAGCACCCGACTCTGTGCCCAACTTGTCGACTCGATTGTACTGCTCACTCAGCGTTGTCTAACGCGCAGTCGAAAAAACGTTGCTAGGAGTATCCCGTTCCACACAAGTAAAGGATGGGATCCGAAGCTCCGATCTGCGTCAACAACCAAAAATTAAAGGTGCCGTTCTGTTCGCCAAACAGTCGAAGATGAGGTGGGCCGGACACGTAGTGCGCATGAATGATAACCGATGGACAAGAGCCGTTTGTGACTGGATTCCTCGGGATGTCTAACGTACTGCAGAAAGATCACCGACCGGATGATCAGAGCTCCTCACAAAGAGCCTTGAAGAAAGATATGATGCTCGACGAGTCCCTAAAGGGAGCAGAACTCACTGGGCTACTCTTGCACGCGACAGGGAAAATGGAAGATTTACTGGCGCTCGCTCAAGTCACTCGACGATCAACGGGACTACAGGTGTTACAAATGATGTTTGGAGTAAAAGCCGCCTGAGAGAAAGGCAAAGCAAGGAACTCGGGTTGGTGTGGTGGATAGCATGTGAGTCCTCACCATGTATAATTGCCACTTGAGGCGACTAAATTTGGTCATATCTCAGCATCCTTGTCGTTGGATTTGACATAATACCCATGCAAAAAAGAATAGGCAGTAAATGGAATTTAAAATATGGTGATTGAAATAAAGCGCTGTCGAAAATTTTGAGACGGTTGACTTAAATAGGAATGGAAACCGCCTTGCACAATTCTTCTCCTCAACAAGGAGGACAGTTGCCACTGGATATCGTAAGCTGCTAGCGACGTGACTCATCTGCAGATAGGTCATATTCTCATGAACACGTGTATTTTTGACATTTCCGTTTTCTTTCATGGAAATCCACTTTTTCGAGAGAAGAGAAAATCGCCTATTGGCATATAGATCTCCCAACGGTTCAACTCATGCGGAGGTCCTCCACTTTGCCAGAAACAGAAGATGGTGTTTCTTCGACACCTCGGTGGCATTTGGATTCTGCACCTGTTTTGACTATGATCTTCTTCATGCGAAAATTTGATTCAACCATATCCTCGAAAAAACTCCTATCATCGCTCAAGAAAAGCAAGACCAGTCATGCACGACGAAGACATTCTCGGCGAAATTCTCATCTTATGTGCTTGGCAGTTCAACGAGAAAACAATTGAAGACGTTGTTTATGTGTGGTTTCTCCATTTATGATATGTTTTTGAGCATACGTGCGGAAAAATAAACGTGTCCATATAAACCCATGCCCCGTCAGCTACTGGTGCTTATTCTAGTATCATTATGCAAAGTATATTTCTATATTTTCCGTATATTTTTGCATATTCGTCTCTACCATGTTATCTAACATTTATCACAAAGATTAAGGAAAAGAGGACGATAAGGATTTTGCGTATTCATAAAAAGTGGGTTGAATGTTTCTACCCTGATACGAAGAATTTATACATTTTATAAATTACTGACGGCCGATTATTAGGATCTGATTGTAGACTAGACCACCTGTTACGAATAAGAGATGGACCAATTGTTGGAAGTTAAAGCTATCGAAAACGCGCAAACATCTATCGCCGCGAGCATCCAAGGTAGAATTGCTAGACTCTGACAGTTAAGTTGACATAAAGTGCAAACTCTTTATGCAAGAAGCAAGTTATTTCTATATAAAAAAACGTGGCTTTTATTTAAAGCATGTATGCTGCAAGTAAACTATAGTTCATCCTAATCCAATGCGAATTCATGACATGATCACTTTTGCTGTCCTGTGCTGGAATTTGGGGGCATCTTAGTACCCTTCTCATGAGCAACAGTTTGTGCCACTGTATACTCCTAGTACACAGGAGTATTGTCGCGGAACTCCAAGAAAAAACAAAACAGATCCGAAAGCTGTTTCTAGCAAATTTTAATGTGTACAGAACAGCTGTAATCTGATAAGGCCTTCGAAAAAATCATTCGTCGGATGGGTCTCACAATACAAAGGAAGCAAATTCTAGGACCGACCTTCTAGTCTCATTATTGGTTAATAATTCACGGAAATGTTATTACAATCACAATGATGCTGAGATATTCGAAAAAGTTTGGAATTAGGCCCGAGCGAACCACGATTTCCCTTTCCGGGGCTCGCGCAATACATACGGCGCCACGGAGGCCGTGATCTGCGTTCTCTCAGCTAGTTTTTCTATCTACCAGTGCCATCAGCAACCACCCGTCAACGGGATTGATCGATGTATTCTTAACTGGGTTTAGTGCCTATTTGAGCTCTCCAGATCAATCCTGTTGACGGGTGATTGCTGATGGCACTGGTAGATAGAAAACTAGCCGAGAGAAGAGCAGTTTAAGAGCCTCTGTGGCGCAGTGTGTAGTGCACGAGTTTTCGGGAAGGAAAATCGTGGTTCGATCTGGCTCCGGGTCCAAGTTTTACGAACATCTCACCATCGTTGTGGTTGATTTCGCGTAATACTCTGCCGTGCATGTTTTGCTAGACAGTAAATAAAAAAGTGAACATTGTTATTGCAATGTTTATTCAGTCACAACTTCGGCTGGCTTTTGGGTGGTTTCGCCTTCCTCGCAGCCTCGAACTGCCAAATTGGCATGCAATGTTTTCAAAAGAACACTTTCATAACTTTAGAAGACAAAACTTAATGAATGAATTTTCAATGGCTTAATAAACAGCTTTATTCAAACGCTAGCTGCTTAGCTGTGAGCTCGTCTCCACCAAATAGCTAGAAAGCTTGTAAGAAACAGAACAACGATGAGTGTTGAAAAGAAGCTGTTTGCTACGCGAATAAAAATTTATATACAAAGTTTTGCCTGCTGAGGTTATGATGTTTGGTTAAATGGATTGCGTATCAATTATCGAGATCACCAATTGTTTCTTTATCCAAGTTCTAAAAAAGGCGAAGCTGCCGAAACGTCACCTATTGTGATTGAATAAATACTATTATAATAGTATTTATCATCGTGTATCGTGATCTCTCATCAAGATAACAGTGCGTTATTCACACAGAGATAGTTTGTGCGAAATCAACATATATCATCTAATATCACCTAGCCGACGTGTGCGTTGACTCCAACTTTAAAACATGTTGCACCACGCTAGGGTTACTACTTCTTTTGTTGGTAATGGTCAAAGTGAAATTTCTGTTGATCAACAACTGCATAACCCTTCTGTTATCAAACTACACCGTTTTCACCTATATGTTTTATGAACTGACCATTTTGAGCTGACGCAAGGTTGGTATCGTGGGGGTGGGACCCACTCCTAACAGCACAGCTCTGAATAAGGCGAAATCGTCGAAACGTTAGCCATCGACTAACAACGACAAAAACCACAAAAACTTCAGCTGTACCAAACTCGCATCAGCTCAACATGAATAGTTTACAAGAACATATTAAAAACATCGATTATTTATGCCAAGGTTTATAAGAGGTAGGTGTTATACTTTTGAGTAACACTGTTTTTCTTTTTTATAGAAGCTGATTTAATGCTACTACAAAATCATGCATTTTAGGTGTATTCTAAACAGCATACATGCAGACATCAGGAACAACGCGCAGATTGTGGCCGTCTTCATTTTTGTTTAAGTTACATTTAACAAATTCGGAAACGAAAATTTGAGAACGACCGGATTTCAAACGCCATTTTTATTGTTTGCTCAACGAAAATGTAAAGCTACAATTGCAAGTTTTGAACACTAGGATACCTAAACGCTTTTGTAGCAGATAATAAGGAGAATGCTAACCAACCCCCAACTGGCGCACTGAACGTGCAAGCAACTCCCACGGCGCAAGCAGCAGCTAGGCACTCAGCTCTTCTTGTTTCACTTGCGAATGCTGGGTCGAAAATTGAGGCAAGACGTGATAGCTGGTTTGCAACAACAGAAGCAATGTGCACAAATGGTCCCTGAAATCCGAAATCATTGGGGAAATTGCTATTGATTTAATAAAAGCGCGCTGCTGACAAGGAGAGAGAGAGAGGGAGAGAAGATGGTTTTATTTGCGTTTGACACTAAACAGTTGCATATTCCGAGTCTTTCCGTAAAGAAGGAAACTTGCCATTTTGCCAATAGGAACTCCGCTTCCCAAAGATAACGCAACTCCAAATACTTTTGATATTAGTGTTTGAAATGTTAAATAATCTTTGAGAATTACACCACGTATTATCGTCTTCATTTCAGGAATTCCAGATCCTGAAACAGCAGCTTAACAAATTTTTGTCCTCGTTGTTTAACGGTGTAAAACACTGAAAGTCTATTAGTTAAGGAACAGCTAGTCCTATTATGAAGTAGTCATGCTTTTTTACAGTTAACAACATCGTTTAATACATTGCTTTGTTTATCTACAATTGTTAATACCTACCAATAGCTTGCGGTGAGACGTAATGGACGAAGGCGGCCGATGCCGCCACCATTCCGACAGTGTAAGAACACCACGAAGCGAAAGACAGTATGGAGGTGAACAATGGAAGCTTATTGAATCGACCACTAACAGGAAATGTCATCGCTTGAACTGAAATACTTGAGAAATAGCATTATAAGTTGGCAGGCATGAATTTCGCATAGCATTTTGCGGGATGAACAATCCAAGACTATCAGAATTTTTACCTTCTGAAGCAAGTTTATTTGAAAAATTCTTGTGTTGTATCTTTTGTAACCGCTTCCTGCGAAAACTATTTAACACTTTTCGAGAACGTACGACTAACAATTCACACATACAACCAGTAAAAATGTCCTATATAGAGCCTATTCTGTATAAGATAGAGTAGAGGCTCCACCTCTTTATTTCTTACATATTTCTGACACAAAACGCAATAAAACCTTTGGACAAAACAGGAGTGTAAAGGGTGGTCTGCATAGGTAGTCTCTGTATCTTCTCACAACACAGATTCTTTATGTTACTTATACGATGTTCTATTTACATTAGCCGTCTACTGGCTTTGCTGTAGATTCAAAACTAGTTGCATACCCCAGGTGTGGTAAGATGACATGCAAAGTGACTCTGTGGCGTCCCCGCCGACCACACGCAAAAGTAGGGTAACTTCATTCACTCATGGTGTTCTCCGTTCTACAAAGTATACTCCAATTTCTAACCTTTTTTCACATAATCAAAAATTGTATAAAAGTCTTTTTTCTGATAACATATCGTGAATTTGTTGAACAAGACTCGATGTTATTGTATGTGCACATTCTAACTCATGTTGCACCTGCCTGTTGATCATGCAACTGTATATATTCTTTACATATTTGATAGTCTTGTTGCTTTTGTTACTGCTGTGTTAATACTGTTTTTGCAAAGGTTTAGTTACCCAAGCTTAATATTGTAAACTGTAGCACCGACAAAAAGTTTGGCGTCATAGGCGGAAAAGAGGGTAGACACCCTATCGCATATAAAATCCAACACGCTCCCTTCCGATTTTAGACAGAAATTTCTCAAATGAGAGGGGAATTTTTTTAACTAAAATCTAAACAGGTGGAATCAATTGGTTGTTGCTAGTTTCAAGTTTCCATATTCTGGAAGGAAATTCCGTATTCTAGAACAGGAAGACATTTTGGAAATCTTTAAAATAGAAATCAATTCAAGAAAATGTAAAAAATTAAGAATTTTCAGGAGCCAATAAAAAATATATTTTCTTCGTTCTTTTTTTTTGTAAACTTTCAAGCAAGAAAACGATTGATGGGTTCCGTTCAGCAGGTCACGACTTGTACCACAATGTGTGGCTGCTGTGTTTGAGTTATAGTTTTGAAATCTTCATTGCTAAGCAAATTTAACTTTGAAAGATCGCTCTGCAAAAGTCATGCATAAGGTGACAAAGAAAAGCTTTTGCTGTAAATCTGTGTAGTTCTCAATCTATCAAGGATTTTAAATCAGCATTTCTCGACCGTTATAGAAAAATAGGAGCGGTAACGAAGTAACATATAACGGAGGTTTAGGGAGTGCCTCAGATCTAGGTACGCTTTTTAGTACTAGTAAAAGTAAGTTATTTTGATGGCTTTTTCGTCAGTCGTTAAAGCGAGCCATTCAGTGATAAAAGCATGAGATGGATAAATATAAGAAAAATAAAAGGCTTAATAAATAATAAATATTATAAGCATAAAAAGGCAACTTCACCACCAAGCGATTCGTCGAGATTCGATAGCTTGCTATGCGTAGTGCAAACGAGCAGCTTGATTTCTCCAAAAGTGAGAATATTTCTAACCTAACACTTCGTCAGCTTTTATGATCATCATTGCTCAAGTACGGTTTTCTGTCTGCGCGGTTATCCTCGATATGCCGGTGAGTTTAGATGATTCATGTGAAATATCATTTTCCAGTCGTTAAAACTAAACAAGTTTGCTATAAGAGAAAAAACCATTGGAGTGATATTATACTACGCTTCCTTAACTTCCTTTTCTATGAATTTATTGAAATTTAAAGAAAAGTAGGATAATACAGCATTGTATTTTCTTTCTGCCGATAAGAGATTTTAATAAGGTATTTATTTCACAGATTGTAGATATTTTTCTTACGAGGTTCTTAGGAAAGAAATCAAATTAAAAGACTTATTCGATAATCACCTATAAATAATTCTGTAAGCGACGTTTGCGCAGAAGCAAGGTTTGTTACGAAACTTCTTGATATGATCACTAGAGTATTCGAAGAGGTCTTCCCGGTTTTATATAAAGGTACCTGCCGTATGGTTTTGTGCATATGTATGATTGTTATAAATGATGTAGTAGGTTGTTGAGTAATAAATGAAAGCTTCTAACCACATTATCTATAACCTAACTTGCTGAAACTTATAACTTGCTTTAAACAGAAGTTTATTAGTCAAAATGGAAGCCATTTGAATTTGCACAATTTCGGCAACGACAAGCTAGTTTATTTATTTCAGTTGCATAAGGCTCTGGAACTCTGAAAGCGATAAATTCTCTGAAAGCAATTTTTACGTCATCGCAGTCGGTGTAGCATTTATAACCGAAGAAGTTGTCGACCAGCTGGAAGAAGTAATAGTCGGTAGATGAGTGGTCTGATGAATATGGCGGCTGAGACAAAGTGTCGTAGCTCAACTCGCTCAAGTTCTTCAGCGCTGGTTCCGCAAGGTAAGGACGGGAGTTGTTGAGGAGAAGGATTGGCCCTTTTCTGTTGACTAATGTCGGTCGTCGTTGGAGTTCACGGTGCATTTCGCCGATTTGTTGGCAATGCTTCTATGCCGTAATCGTTTCGCCCTGATTCGAAAAGCTGTGATGAATCAGCCCTGCTGCAGACCACCAAACTGTCATCGCAAACTTTCGTTGATGCAATTTCGGCTTTGGGAACTGTTGCAGAGTCCGTTCGCATCCCAATCATTGGGCTGCACTTCGCCGGATGTTGTACGGAATCCATTTACGGAATCGCACAATTCGATTAAGAAAAGGGTCGTTTTTGTTGCGCAGAATAAGAGCAGGCGACACTTCAAAGCGGCGTTTTTTTTCTTGTCGTTTAATTCGTGTGGCACACCCACCTGTCGAGTTTTTTTCCCTATGCTGTTCAAATGAATGGAAATTGTTTCTGTGGTTACGCCAAGCTGCTCTGCAAACTCTCTAACAGTTTTTCGCAGAACCTTTATTGACGTTCCAGTTAGTATGAAAATACTTTGTTCTTTGCTGCTGTTGTTGTTGTTGTGCTCTCAATGGCTCAAATGGGATTTAAAATTACAATTAGTCGGAACAATTCAAATTTTCAAATTGGGTTAGGCCCATTAGAACTTCAACAAAGAGGAGATAGCACCCAAATGCACACACGAAAGAATCCCGATATGGAAGCGCTTCACATTTTACTGGTGGACGATTTATCTCCCGTCGAATTTAATGGAAACAAACAAGTTTTCTAGCCCTTCACAGTGTTGTGCTTTCCAATGTGCTGAGTAACGCATTTATTTTCAAAGTTTCCTAAAAGCTGTTTCTTCGCGACTTTTCAGCAAAGAGAGATGCTGAGTCAAACCATTTCATTTGTATGCCGTGATGACCACATCACACCGTAGCTTGGTACAGGCACCATGCTGCCGAGCATTGGAAGACCAATGCACATGCACCGACTGGGGCGTGAGGAACCAGTCAGTCTCAGGTGGATCGGAGTCATCCGGCACCCTCAGCGCCGGAAACCTTGGAGTGACCAGACGAGGTCCGCAGGAGAGAAGTTCATCACACATGAAACTACAGCAAACTAGGATGAGCAATAATAGATCCACTACGCAACCCCAGGATGTAGCTGGAGAAATGGAACATAGCCGAAAGCTTGAAGTACTCCATGCTGAGAATTGTGGACTTGATTATAGCGAATCCGCCACCACGACCCCAAAATCCGATGTCGCCCAGCGAATGCCTCGAAACATTGACGAGATATGGGGCCAAAGAACTGTTAACGAACGCACAGTGCAAAATTGGTTGAGAAATTTCGTGGCGTCGAATTTGCCCATGAAGGTGAAGAATGTCGCAGACGTGCCTACGCTATTGATGATGAAAAGCCTTCGATTTTCCTGAAAGGATTTGCTTGCACAATACTTCAAAACATGGGAAAACTCGGTGTAAACATCTCAGTTCCTTTAGAGCACCTGAAGAAAGTTTTAAGGCGGAAAAAGCTCGAGAAATGGATTTCGTGCCAACTGAATGAAAACGAAAGGAGTAGACGTTTTCAGGTGTTTGAAGCACTTCTTCTATTAGCTGGTTTAGAAATAAATGAGCGTCCCATCTATATTGTTTAAAATGTCACAAATTGCTTTGGATAGAACTTTATTAATCAAAGTAGAAACTATTTCAATCTAGTCATTTTTCTCCAACGAGAAGCAAAAAAAAGTCAATACCAGGATCCGCCACCGTCTTGGTATCAAACTAGCCGCAAGGTGGCAAATCTCCCTCTGTTCTATAAAGGTGGCGACTACCTGTGGTGGTGACGACCCAGGCAGACTTTAGCCAGACTGAACTCGGGACTCCAGGGAACCGCAGTGGTTAAACTAGCAAAACTCCGAAAAGCGAAGATTATGCTGGGATCCGCACGACTGGTGCCGAAGGGCTGTCCATGTATCCAAGTATGCAAGTGTCGTAAAATTCAGTTCTGGAAGCGATGAATTGGTTAAAGGACTTTTTGCATCATCGTAGTTGGTGAGTCATTTCTGGTGTTAAAAATTGTCAAGATGCTAGAAGAAGTGGTAGTCGGTAGGCGAGAGGCGTGGTGAATATGGTGGATGAGTCAAAGTCTCGTAGCTCTACTCGTTCAACTTCTACAGCAGTGGTTCCGCAACATGAGGCCGGGCGCTGTCGTCGAAAAAATTTGGTCTTTTTAATAACTAACTCCGGTCGCCGTTGTTGGAGTTTACGGTGCCTTTCGTCGATTCTTTGGAAATACTTCTCTGTCATAATCATTTCGTCCAGAATTAAAATGCCGTGATGAATCAGCCCATCT